AAAATGTAGTGTTCTGCCACCAGGTTCTATACCTACCTGCAGAAATAATAAATCTATCTATCTATCTAAACTGTATCGTGAGATCCAGCGCCTACCTACACACCGTCGGCTTGCGGAGATTTGCCTCCCCAGGTACCTCCCGCAGCGGAGCACCACCCCACCAGCAACGACATCTAGGCACACTCCTGACGACCAACCGGTAGCTCCGGGCTGAACTCCCAGTGTGTGGTGGTAGTGTAGCGCGCGGGCATTCAAGTGTATGTGAGGAAGGCGAGAGGATAGGACAAGGAAGACGCGCGCGGTACGTGGCCCGACTGTCACGAGTGCTGCTGCGTCATTCGCCTGGTGTTGATCGGAGAAACCCCGAGAAAACTACCGACGAGACGAGCCGGTCGCTAGCGGTTCACCTCCAGACAGCGGCCGCAATCGACACAGCAAATAGATAGAGTCGGGACTGTCGCGGAGGTCTGGAACTCCCGGCCAGAGTCGCTACAGATTTCTCCTGGGAGGGGGGAGGATTCCTAAGTCTGCTGGTAATTTGCTTACATTTTTTTCTTAAGGAGAAAGTGATAGCGAGAAATATCTAACCGGGAAGATTCTTTATTATTTAAATATAATTTTAAATGTTTACTTTTTGTACTATCTTTTTTTTGTGGTCCCTAATTCCTATGTATTGCTCATTAATGTATAAGGAATAAAACCGAATCTAAGGTTACTGTCATTGTCAACAGTTTACGTAAAGTAAAATATTTTAATTTGCAACCTATATTGAACACGCATGGAGTAACGCACCCATTATTATTATTATTATTATTATTATTATTATTATTATTATTATTATCTGTTGAAAAAGCTCGTGGCCAAATAATGCAATTTCATTTTTCATTGACTTCACTTCTGACAATATCGAAGTAGACGAAATGGCTTCAATAGTTCAAATGGCTTTGTCAATTCAAGAAGCATTCTCTCCAACCCAAACTGAAGGCCAGAAGGTCCTAATTTTGGATTTCAGCAAAGAACAAATTTGCAACAAATGAAAAATGTGTATTCTGGTTGCAGATTTTTCTACTCAACATGTTAACAGGGGGTACTAGACAAATCTAAATCCGGGGTGGCAGATCAACATGGACCTCCTACAGTATTTCCAGCACAAGTCCCCCCCCCGCACGCACATACATGCACGCGCGCGCGCGCGCACGCGCACACACACACACACACACACACACACACACACACACACACACACACACACACACTCATAAACAGAACTCGTCTCTTCATGCAACAGAATTAATTTATGGCCGTTCATTTGAATTAAAGGTAAATTTCTTCTTTTATGTTTTCAATTATTCATTTTTCGGAGAACCAATTACGTTGGGGTCTGAGAAAAGCTACCCCCCTCCTATCCCATCCTTCGTCGCCACTGCTTGGTAGAGATGTCCAACTGGACTTTCGCCGCATAAGGGCTGACAATCCCCGGACTCTCACAGGCATGATTCCGCGGCGAACAAATAATTAATGGTATGCAAATGAAAATATCGCGTTAGTTGGAATGCCATCCTTGCACTCCCTTTCGAGAAAAAGAATGCGAGTACCTTTGAAGACTTTACGTCCTTGGCATGACTGTAGCAGAGCAAAGAAGTTTTGGTTTTCCATTTTTTGTTTTTTTAATTCGTGTCGTTACTCCATCTTTATTTTCTAAAAATCATCGGCAATAATCTATCAGAGTTCTACCAAACATCGAAAATCAGTATTTTACTCATTCAGGAGCTGACATCCATTGCAGTAAGTGTGTACGAATTGGAGAATAGACGTGTGAAACAATTCTTGTCATCACGTCATCTGCGACTTTCAAAAGCTATTTTGCGGGAAAATTCGACGTCTGTGCCCGAAGGAGCCGATATTTGTAGATCTCATCGCAGGCATGTTCTCCAGCGAAAACGGACACCGCTGGTAACATTGCGTCACGATGTACAAAACCGCGGTAAAACCATTGCACGGCGCTGACGAAATTTAAATAAAAGCTACGAAACGTAAAAACAGCAAGTGATCGCAGCGCACAAGAAAACTTGCAAAGACGAAAATTAAGAGTAGCGTAGACGAAAGTTAAGTATTTTGCTCTATAGTTAATATTTCCTATTACGACTACCTTCAGGAAAAAATTATAGGTTTGGGGGGCGGGAATCTCTTTATGCTGGAAATGTAACAATGCAATGGCATAAATTGTGATATACTCACTATATTCCTGACCCAACACATTTTCTATTTACATGTTGTTGTTTTTTCCTTCAAAATAAAACCATTCGGTAGACTGCCTGAAATGTTCGCAGTTTTGTTAAAGGAACCCTCACGTCGTGCATTTGCATTCACTCCAATTTCCAGATTCCCTGTTGCTCCTCTGCAACACGTCCCTTTCAAAATTAATCTCAATAAGAATATAGAGATTGCCGTTATTTGCTCATCTTTTGCACTCGAACAGTATTCTTCCCCGCTAATCAATCATAAATATGCATACAAACTTAAGTGTTTCATTAAACTATTCCAAGTTACGGTATTACATTTTTTTAAAGTGCAACAAACATCTTGTTGCTCTCTGAACGAGGAAAACACCCAAATTTCTTCAAATAAAAGAATTTATGAACTATTCACGATATTGCTCCAACAGAAAGTCTAAAATACAATTGTTAAAGGACATCAAATTAATTTTCATTTCACAATGGCAAGGTTACACTGCAATATAACACACTACAACACTAACTTTACAAGTTCATTCAATTTCATCAAGGGCTCCCACAGCATGAAAGGCAATAATATTGCTCCACAAGTAATATGTAATAAATTATATTAAGTGCAGACACTAAACCTTGTGCTTGCGTGCAACAAACCAGATTTGACATTCACGACACAAGAGTAAATCGTTGTTTATCTTACCTCTGGTAATTCGTCTGGCACTTTCCCCATCCATGTGAGTGACAGGATGGCACAGTCACACTTGGCATTTGAATTTCTTTCAAAATGTAAGTGCATAGCCAACAGTTTTTGGAGAACTTGCAGGTGAAGAGAAAAACTACTTCAAGGAGTGAAGTATTTGACATTTAACTCACGACGGGTGTTTAGAGGTAATTATTCTACAATACATTTAAAAGCACACCATTAATCCATTTGCAAACAGAAAAGCACTTTCGCACATCTCAACACATGGCGAGACACACTGACATTTACTTCTGGAGAACAAATTGATGTCACGAAGAAGACACTAGAGTGTACTAATAGAGCTAAATTGAGACAGAGTAATGTTTATTACAAATAAGATTTCTGGCAGGACCAATTATTTCGTCTCCCAATCCAAATACTAGCATCTTCACGCCATTGACAGCCGCCTGCATTCACGCAAGTCTCTCTCTAAGAATCTCACGCGACACCCCAACCACGAACAGTTTGAAAATGCCGTCTCTACGTGCGATACGTGGGGGTAAGCGAGCTATTTCGTATTGATTCGCAACTCGTGCTGCTCTGCCTGGCGGACAAAGTGCGAACTATGCAATGGTACTCCAAAGAAATTGTATATTTCATTTCACAGATTCCGCTTGGAGCGCTTCTATCAACATGACTCATTTACAGGTTCAAGATCGTTAAAGCTGATTACCATCAGATTCCTTAGGGATATTACTTTTGTTAGAAAAGCACTGAAGACATACGAATGAACAATATATCTTGATCAATCAATTGTGCAAGGTTTGTACAAAATGCACTGGAACGAAATATAAAAAATTGGCATGAAAAAAAAATAAAAAAAAAATAAAAAAACAACCTCAAATTTACATAAAATATTCTGCATAGGACCACTTATATGCATGGCGCTCACTTTGCACCAAGTTAGTTGTATGAATATTTCATACTATTTCTTTTGGACACTACTACTATTTACATTTTTTAATGATAAAAAATTCTGAAATTACTATTAATAATAAAATGTACCTTCTGGGACGCCTTATATCCTTGTAAATTAGCATAGTATCAAAAACAATGAGGCATTTTACAACACAAAACAAATTTTGGCAACAACTTTTATTTGCTAACTTTGGCGTTTTTACCTATTTTCAAGAAAATCATTTTGTTAATTTCTCATTCATTTTAGCATACATTGGTGTTACAAGGAAAAAATTAGACCTTAAAATCAAATTCATTTCTTATATTTATTGCCTAAAGGCCTTCTTCTGCATTAACATTGATAATTAGGGGGATTATCTTGCCTGTAAGTTGGTTTATTATAAAACCTTCTGGTTAGATCTATATTACACATGCATTATTTAAAAATATCAAACTAACAAAACCTACTACACTAAGAATGAAGAACATTTCACTTGTAATACAATTATGACCTACCTTTGTAATTGATACATGTTGCCATTTCTATGTACAATTTCAGTAGTAAAGTTAATTTAGTAATGAAGTGGTGGGTTTTTTGCTCATCTAAATGTGAACCATGCACTTCAAAAATGAAACCAATTAAAAAAGAATTGGTAGGAAGGATATATCCTTCCATATATGGAAGAGGAAAAAAAAAAAAACAAGAAAAAAAAAGGTTGGGCTTATTTGATCTAGTCAAGATAATAAATCGTAAACTTAAGAGGTGAAGAACAAGTAGGTTTGATTATTAACTGAAAAAGGAAATGAACACCATGTCTTGTAACAACCTATTTCTTTTCAGAACTCACAGCTATTTCACATTTTTCTTCTTAAGAAATAGTTTTCAAAAAACATTTGGTATTTTTCAAATATTATTGGTTTTTATTAATAAGGAAAATTCATTATTATGGAGACATTTTCTACGAAATGATTATCACTTAAATTTGGCAATTGTTCGTTCAAGCTAGTAATTTAGCAGTAGGAGCGAATGGTGATTGGGACTATATGGGATTCCTACTTCTTCCATTCCATTTTGGTTACTAATAAAGACTCCCAGAAGGATATTTCTAACATTGTATCATACACTCCAATTCAGCAGTGTTATGTAATGTCATGCATGGCAGAACAGGAATGCGAAGGAAGAAACAACAATGTCCAATGCAGTGGTAAACACACCCACAACCCTTCACACTCAGACACCGCTAGCCAGTTACACCCTTTCATCTCTACTCAGTCTGGCAGAAACATCTTTGCAATGCACCAATATTTCAAACACACAAAAAAAGCAATAAAAGTTAATCACTGCATGTATCCTTTATATTTCCAGCCTTAGATGGTCAATGGCATGTGTGCTTACTGCCTTGTTATTTCATACTGCTCTTACTTCATATTTAGATACCCAAAATGAAACATTGAGAATTTAATACAAATACAGACAATTAAATCATAAGTGAATTAAAATAGACAAACGACAGCTGATGTATATTGTAGATCTAATTTTCACAGCACTTTTGAAAGCAGTTCTACTGGATGTGGGCAATTCATTAAGGCTAGAGGCAGGCGTTTTTACATCACTGCTGACAATGTTTTGCCCTTCTTGTTACTGCAAGCCTTCTGCTCACAAGTATAATTTCACTACCAATAATCATAATTCTCATTTTCAAATCTAATTTTTTTTTTTTTTAACATAAGATGTTTCTACTACAAATGGAATCATCTTGTGGATTATAAGCCTCATTTTCATTGGTCCTGATTTTTTTTTTTTTTTGCTTCTTTTAATAGTCTGAGTGCCTTTCGGCCTCTACTTGTTTGCAGGCTTGCGCCTTTCTCAACATCTATTACTGCCTCATTGTCCCTGGGGCCACCAGGGTGCTCCCAAAGGCTACAGATGTCCTACTTACTTTTTGTACATTACTTATACTTTTGTATGTTAAATGTAATGTGTGTAATTTTAAATTATTACTGAATTTTTCAATCAATAACTTCCTAATCCTTCAAAAATCAAGGAAACAGTTATTTATTTGAATAGACACATACAATATATCAACCCATTAATAGTAAACATTCAAGCTTGCAGTTCTTTGTACGTACACACACCAAAAACAAATGCATATCAATGCAGTAACATGAAATAATAACATACAATCTTCTGTCATTACAATTCATAGTTTCATTAATTATTTTTGAAATTACCAAATATTTCAAATTTATTTGTATAATTTTTAAAAAATCCACAGGATCCAAGTACTAGCCAGGAATGCTTATTGGATAGGATGATTCAGGGTGTGAATCTAGGGCAAAATGATTGCATAATGACAAATATTAGAATTGCATAGTGACAAATGACAAATGTTGGTGAAAAGTTATGTGGTCAAGTGACAGAATGATTCTTATTACCAGTAAGTGTCCCATTCTTTTATCAAATGACATTTCATGATTAGATCTACCGTCAATAAGGGCAATACTGGAAGTAAATTAGAAATTGACTTCCTTTTTTCTAAGGAATGTATCGTGCAATATCTGTCAGAAGTGATCAGCCCAGGCAGGATTTCTTTATGTATTTTAAAATTATCTTTATGTATTTTTTTTCTGCCTAGTCAGTATATTCACAGTCACAAAAGTACTTGCCCTGCTTGTTTTCAAGTTGTTTTTTGAATGATTTTGTTAACTTTCCCTAACAAAGGGATCAGTGAGCAGTTGCCTTAGCCACAATTTTCATTTATTTCAGTTGAGCATAATGGTTTCTGATCTCCCCTCTTCCCATTTAGTATTACAGATTTCTATTTTATTTACAGACAGCAGATAATCACCACATTAATTATCTTGTCCATCTATCATAAACGTCTGCCAAATGTTAAAAGCATTTTTTTAAACCTGTATTAAATGTTGCTTTAATTATCTCTGTCCAAATATATCCAAAGAAAGTAATTACGTACCATCAGGTTGACCCAGTAAGATAACATTAGACATGATTTGAATTATGGGTTTGAGATAGTCCGTTTGAACGGTCAACCATCATAAAAAATTTGAATTTCATGCTGATGCACAAAGTGTGAAACATCTCTCCATTCAGATGGAAATAAACAGATGTATTCTTCTTTGTTTTTTAGATGTCACAAAGATATTGAACATTTCCATGTAAGCAGAAAGTATTGTAGTGATAGTTGCAGAAAAGTAAATTGTACGAACTATGAGCCACTAAAAACTTATGTTATCTGCCTGGTGAAGTTCATCTATCATGTTCCAATTGACACTTCCCCAAATACAGGAAGTTTTCTGCCTCAATATTAAGGAGATTATATGAGAGGAAGAGGTAAGGAAAACACAGAAACCTTGAAAACAAATATCAATGATGAGATGCTGTCAGGAACAGCAGATATATGTGAAAGAATTTAAAATATGATCATTTACAGTACTAAGTCAGAGAGTCAACAAGGTTCTGTTTTCTCATTGTACACTTTCCTCTGTTGTACAATTTAAGAGTCAGGCCATAAGTAGTAATTTAGGCTTTGTTTCACGATCTACAATCTAATATTATCTGGTTTAATACAAACCCTAATCAGAATTGCCTCATTCTGTACATGGTTAAGCATTTGCATAGAAATTGCTGGAAGAACCTCTCAGCATATACATTAGTACTTCAGAAAAAGTAGGCGATATTACATTTGCTCATTATTCATTTCTTTTTCCTAAAGTTTCCATGAACCAGTCCATGTGCCTGGATATTCAACTAACACACTTATTACCTTTAGCCAAGTCATTCCGTTTACCCTCTGTTCCTCTGTCTCGTTTTAATTCAGTTACAGGCTGCTCCAGTCTCAGTGCAGCCTCACACTCAAAGATTCACATTTTTCTGTCCTTCACATTCCCAGACAGTAAGGGTTCTGTGTGTATTTCAATGCATACCAGTTCTGACTGGAAAAAGTGGTAATTAATCTAGGAAAGTAAGAAAGCAATTGACCCTAATCTAGGAAAAAGATCCTGACTTTTGAGTGACAGAAATCTGTTCTCATATTACTCATAGTACACATTAAAGGCATTCTTGGGTGTCCAGTGACCAGATGTCACTGTGAAGACAAGTCAACTTCTTCTTATGATTTCTAAAATAATTAACATAATTATAGAAACTAAATATTAGCACAGGGAAATTAGTGGAAATTTGCATTATACAAAACACAATGAAATTTATCTGGGTTAAATATGACCCAATTATATTAGTAAAAGGTTAATGATTATTGCCATAACAATAATTACATAAACATATGCAGATTGTTGCTCTCACCTAAACTATATCTCAAGTCAGCCTTAAAAGAAAAAAAAACGGCATTTGTCCATGATGTACATAGCATTTGTACATGATGTCCAAGCAGTACATACTCCTGTGACTTTAACACACTAACATTAAATACACCATATTAAATCACTACTTAAATTACATTTTATGATATTTACCTTCGTGAAGCAATATCTTCATAATATGGATAGGCATTTCTATTTTAAAAATAAATTAAAATTTTCGTAATAAAATTAAGGTATATTTCTGAACAATTTTTTGAGCATCAGTCCACACACTTGTACTATTACAATTATTCAATTCATTAAGGCATTTCCAAACACAATACTCAAAGAAATTTCATTAGTGCATCTCTCTGAAACCTATGTTCTAATGAGTATTAGGAATACAACTTAATTGATATATTAAAAAAGTTCCATTGGCTGGTTAAAAAAGGAAAATGCTGTTTTCTCATTTTTCTTCATCACAATCTGCAGGTGTACATCACGCACGTCACCTGTTCCAGTTGATCAGTGGACCTAGCTGTTATTCCTCCACAACCAAGTGATCCATGTCTTCTTTGGCCTTCTTGTCTCTTGAGCTTATATACTTTAAGGCAGCTTTGAGCAATCCTTCCACTTTCAGTCTATGGATGTCGGTGAGTTATCTCTTCTAGCTCTCTTTTATGTCCTCTACTATTTTCTTTTCTTCCTCCTGAACAAAATTATATTGTGTAATAAATCTTTAAATATCAAAAGAAACATATCTTCAGAAATCTCTGGTAGAGAAATAAAGGTTCAACATTGCCTACACCATTACCATCATCAATTTGGTTAAAAATTAATTACAACTGTCATCCATAAACTCGTTTTGAAGTTAAACTTCTCAGGGAATTTCTTCATCACGCCTTGGTATCTCTAATAAAAACACACACACACACACACATGCAGAAATGTCTAGATGCAGTCTTTATCCATATGTTCAGCCAGTAATTATATACTGAGTTACTGATTAATTGTCTTTCAAGTAGTTAATTATCTGTTGTATCTAACATGAAAACATACCCTGGTGCCCCTCTCCAATTTTGCTGAATTTTGGATAAGTTGTCAGGAATCAAGAAATACACATCACATAAACTATTTTTTTTCTTTTCTGAAGAGACACGTTTTTGAAAGGGGTAAACTTACCCTCCAAAAGTTAGGGCATAAAGAGTTGATTTCTCTGTTTTGAATACAAAAACAATATTTTTTTCAGCTTGTTCATCAATGGTTTTAAGATACTGTAAGAAGTAGACTTCACCCAAATATAAAAGCAGACTTCAAAAATGCCTCCTGAAGTAAATTAATACCAAGGAAAAAAATTTGAAATAGTTGTATAATACTCTAAAAGAAAACTAATGTGTTTTCACATTTTTTTAAATAAATTCCAAAACTCTAAATTGAGAAAAGACCCATCATGCCCCAATAATAAAAAAAGACCATACACTTCTACCCATACACCCTACACTTCTACATCAACAGCCATAATGTGCAGAGACTGCCACACAGAATATACAGACATTGTGATTCAATTTTGATAGGGTTTAATCCCATTTCAGAAATACTGTATTCCTTGAATTTTTGCAATTATTCATAAAAATGTTTCTTAATACACACTTTTCAAGACAAATTATTGCCTAAAATTATTTTTGAAGGAATATCACTGTATGATTTTACGGGTAGATACCCCTGAAAACAAATTAAGAAATGTTAAAATGTGTCAGTTTCCTTCTAAAGAGAACAAAAAAAGGCCTTTTGAAGCGAATGTAATTTTCTAGAAGAAACATAACCCTCACTCAAATAATTAATTTTCTTGGTAATGCAAATGATAATACACCTTTATCTGTATATAAAAATAGATGTTGATATATATAAGAACTGGAGTAAACTCCAATATTGTAAGACCAATCTCCATGAAATTGGCACGCGTACATGTTTTTTCACCCAGAAGGTTTATGTGCTGTTAATTTTGATGTAACTCCACTAGATGGCGTTACAAAACAAAATCGCACTTCATTTTAATTCAATTTCCATTCAAACTGTAATCCACCTGGGCTTTGCTGCTGAGTGTTGCAAGTGACAGAGTAGAATGAGAAGATCAGGACAGCGGCGTAAGAGAGACACACAGACAGAGAAAAACAGAGGGAGAAAGAGAGACAGAGACAAAGGTAGACAGAGATGCAGAGAGAGACAGACAAACAGAGACGGCTAGAGAGACAGACAGACATGGAGAGATAAAGAAAGGGAGGGACACGGACAGAGATGGAAACAGACAGGCAGAGACTGACAGAGAGAGGCACAGACAGACAGAGAGAGATACAGTCAAACAGATTGAGACAGGGATGGAAAGACAGGATGAAGGAGAGAGATACAAAGAGAGAGGGAAGGAGAAATAGGGAGATGAAGGGCAGAACATCGTCTGCTGGATTCCGCGAGTATTTTTTATAATTAACATTCAATTAAGGTACTAATTCAAAGTACAATTGTAAATAGTTTCTTGCTCCTTAATGTAGTATGCACTCAAATCTAGCTTCTTGACTGTCCAGGAGACACCACATCCTTAGCACAGGTGCCAGGCGTCTCCTGGACATATAAGAAGCTGACTGACTCTGGCCACGGAATCCTACGCTCTCATATACGTAACTCATTTCCATTGAAAGCGCACATACATAATTTTTCAATCTTCTTTGTGGTATACCGTTACCTCATGAAGTATTTTTGAAAACTGATTTTGTACTCTGATTCGCTTATCTCTCAAAATAACTTAAAGAAAAATGCACTGAAATGAATTTATAACCCGACTTGGTCACATACATTTTGCTCAACAAGATTTAATTTTTCTCTACTCAACAGTAAATTCAACTCTTTTATGTTTTCCACTTTTGGAAGGTAATTCCACCTCTTTCAAATATTTATCTGCAAAAAGATTTTAAAAAAATAAAAAATAGGCATATTTTGTCAACCTTCACAAATATTAAGCATAACTGACAACAGACCCATTGGAATGATTCTTTGAAGGAAATTTGAAAGGGTTCAATGAATTCTTAGATGGAAAATGAAGACTTTATGGTTGAATCTAAAACCAGTTTTTTGAATGAATACTTTGGCACATAATATAACTTTTTCAACATGCATCTTTCTCTTATTGCCAGTAAGTTGAAATTTATCTGAATTTGCAAACAAAACTGCAATTTGTGTACAAATACATGAAGAAGATATTAGCTGACTAGACAATTCTATATTTGTTCACTGCACAGCAGTGTAAAGTACTGCACAGCAGTGTAAAGCGCTGCACAGCAAGTAATTTTTCACTCATAGAAGAAGAAAAAAGCAGCAAAATTTCCTTTGTACTTCAAGAAAAAATTTAAACAAAAGAAATTATTTTTTCCTGCAGTCATTTTATTCAATACTTTTTACTTACTTGAACAAAACTCCAAACAAAGGCACTTGGAAATTATTACACCCTCCTCCACTTTTATTTTAATAGTAATTCTTGGACAATTTAAATTTTTTCATAGTATATTTGGAATTAGAAAAATCGTGTTCCAAAGGAATTGGTAATCTGAAATAATATTTGCCCATGAATAAAATCGCACATATGTAATAAAGACATCAGATTCTAATTTCAATTTCATAAAAATATAAGCATGGTCATCACCAGCACCAAAACACATTGGGAAAAACAACTTGATAGATAATACACAAACTGCCACATAGACCCCTTAGAAAATGTTGAAAAAGCAAAGGCCTTGAAACAAATTTTGAGGTGAGTGCCTCCAAGAACATATTTTAAAGAAACTTTGAATTAGCAAAATAAGCTAATTTATTCTGAATTGTATTGAAGATGTAAATAAATATTGCACAGATTTTATTCAACTTTCCAAGTATTTAAACTTTATAAAACATTAAAAGCACATTTAAAACAAACCTATATATTTTATAGCAAGTAGTGATCCAAATACATTTTGCGTAATATCAAAATGGATAAAGATATTCCAACAGCATTTATTAAATCTGTGTGGTCCAACAATCTTGTGCACATTACAACAGCTAGGTGATTAATTTCTGCTGTGTCACCATTGAATACTCACAATCTTTAATGTAGCACAGCACTAAAATATTTGAAGGTGGACAAATGAGCACGATTATTAATTAGATCGCTGGTGAGGTAGATACCTTTTTATTATGATAAATAAATAAAGATGTTGTCTGGTATCAATGCTTTTTATTCAGCTTCTGATCGTTTCGATCGCCAGAACTTTGTTTTCGGCCCGGAAGCTGCAAGCTCTGAGGATGATCGCTATGCGATCGAAACTATCATAAGCTGAATAAAAAGCATTGATACCAGACATCTTTATTTATTTATCAAATAAGCACGAGTCTCACAAATGCCTTAAAATTAATGAATAACTTTCAGCCTTCTTTCTTCATAGAAACTACATTGCTTTTTGTGTCTTATAATCATTTAATGTTGTTTCACAGATAAAAGAAGGGTGGTTTTAAAGATTAAACATCCATTTCTTAATACAGAGCCACCTCATCATATCTCTAACAACACTTGCCAGAAGAATCGTTTTTCCATTTCAGATTTGCTATGTACTCTGTTTTCATGCTTTTGGACAGTGTATTAAAGGAAACATTCCTGCTTCACTACCTCTTCCGATGATAGAAATTTCTGATGTGAACAACTTATGCAAACGTACAATATTAGTCATTAAAAAAACAGTTCTTTTTTAAATTTACCATGATTTCTTTTCCTTTTTATTGTTTTAATTCATAGAAGTTGGAGTCAGCAACATTTCAGCTATCACCTTCAGGCCTCTGCGTTAAAGAAAATTGCTACAATTTATAATATTGGATGCTATACAGAAAAACTTTTATATTATTTTTAACAACAGATTAAAGGTGTTAATTAAACATAAGCTCCAATTCACCATACTGGATAATACAAAAATTAATAGTTTTAAATAGTTATCAAACTGAGTGCAAACTACAGCAATAGGTATGCTTCTGTCAACGTACACAAAAATGTAATAAACGATACAAATACTTATTAACCGTATGACTTTTGACCTCTAGTTAAAAGTACTTTTTTATATCATCTAGTAATGTGAATTAGAACGTATGTTCGATTGACATCTTTAATCTGTTGTTAAAATTAATGTAAAAGTATTTCTGTATAGCATCCAGTACTATAAATTGTAACATTTTTCTTCAAACCAGAGGCCTGAAGTTGGCTAGAAGTCTGTAGCCAAAAGTGTTGTCAACTCCAACTGTTATGAACTGAAACAATAAAAAGGAAAAGAAATGTGAATGTCAAAAATTTTAAAAGGAACTGTTTTTTATGCATAAGAAAAACTAAAATGAGAATATAAGAAAGAAAAGTTTTATAATATTAGTCACTGATCATATAACAGTTTCTTAACCCTTTAACTGCTATGGCACAGCAGACTGAGTCACGCCTCTTGTCTAAATTGTGAGCAGAGCTCACTTACACATAGATACTGCACAAGACATCTCAGTTATCAGTAGCAATAGCCAAAATCACGAATGCACAAGCGAACTTGTCCCGAGGCTCTCAGTACGTCGCAGTTCTGCGTACGATCTCGTCCAGAGGCTCCCAGCAACAACCTGACTCAGCGTAATAACTCATCCAGAGGCTACCACGCATGGAAAAATATTGCTTATTAACTCATCTAGAGCAGTCAAAGGGTTAATATTTATAATTCTTTTAGTGTGGATGTATTCCTTCAAAGGTGTCATTTTTAATTTCCATAACATTATGACTCTTGTTATCTTTATCAAACTTGTCTTATTCAACAAGATGGAATTAAGCATTATTGCATGCCCTGTATTAATGATACTGCTTGGAATGTAAAGACTGTAATAGGGACAAAATAATTTCAACTTAAACACCAGCGGTGAATTCTAAGAACAATATGAGAGAATTACCAAAAAACTGGCCACACTAACAGCAGAGAAACAGTTGTAAGAAAAAGATAATATGAGGGAATATCTTGTGTATCTGAGATATATAATTTGTGTTCTATAGGGTTACGATCCAGAGGTACATTGGAGTTGAAGGTTTCCATAGAAATAATAAGAATTTGGTAATAAAATATGAAGATGCTTCTTTACATCAATCTAAGCAGTAGTAAAATGTCCCTTATAAAATATAATATATACAAGAAAAAAATACAATCTCAAAAGAATTTTAATATCTTTAATATAGTATATATTCATTACATACACACATTCACACTTGCACTACATCCTCCCCATTCACACATTAACAGGATGTTTCAAGAGAAATCTTCATCTAAATCATCCTCTCCTTCCAGGTCCAGCTCATCCAACTCTTGGAAAAGTGATTCATCAACTTTGACAGCATCTCCACCTGCAAAAATTAATAACTGACTGAAATCTGGTGAGAAAATATTGCATGCAACTTAAAAATAAATTAATAATGTAATAATAATAATAATAATAATAATAATAATAATAATAACAACAACAACAACAACAACAACAACAAATGTGTTATTTGCGAACTTACCATCCTCCAAAAATTTGAGATCTGACTCATTAAGTGTTTTATCTGTAAGGAACAATTCTCTTCCAGTCAACTTTTTTGTCGCATTGTCATCCTTCTCTTGTTTCTTATTATGTCCGAATTCTGCATCAAATCGAGCTTTCCATGCCAAAAAGGACTCAACTGTTACACGCGTCCCTTCAAATCGTTTCTGCAAAGGATAGCATTTTTGTCAAACTTTAATCAATGAACCTCACTTCTTAACTGAGAGGATAGAACTCGCAGGTTTCTCATTATTAATGCAAGATGTTATTGAAGGAAAATTTTGTAATATCCAATTACATTGTAAAATCATATTCAAATCTGTACATTACACATGCATTAGAGAATCAAAAAACTTTTCATTTGAAATCGAAAAGGATATAAGAGAAATATTGGACAACTGTTCAATCTTTAACATCATTCAAACAGAGCAAGCAGTCTAAATATTAAATACATAGACATGAAAATTGTATTTTATTTATTCACAGTTCATTTTTCACACACCAAACCTAAATCTTAATTCATTACAAAAATATATATATACAATTTCAGCATGGAACCTTTCATATTCGTAGAACTTCAATTTGGTCTTCATGACAAGTTGATTTACACTTAATAAAAATTACATACCCTTTCTGCTTCTTCAACTTCTGCTTGTTTCTTCATAGCACTTTCCTCCCTTTCTTTGCGAGTTTCATCCCATTTGTTATTTAACCATTCTTGAGCAGATGAAACTAAAGTAAATATCATTACTATACCAAGGTTCTCTTGGGCCTGTAACATAAAAGATGTCTAAAAACAAATGCATTCTACTCATAATTGACATTAATTCAATAGTATCCTATTACACAGTATTTGGATGTCCTCTTTTCCCACACATTCACATAAGTATAGTTGTTAATAAAGCAACTGAAATACTTGGTATCCAAACAATATAAATCTCACCAAAGTATAATAAACTTCTTCGAATCATACATTCATAGCTCAATTAAAACAACCAAAATTGATGGTGCAATTACACATAAAACAATTTTTTCCCCTGTTCTTGTTCATTTCCAATAACACATTACTTTTTTCAAAACACTCATTAATTCAAGCAAAATGTGGAGAATGTTTCTGAGAATCCTCAAAATAAGTAAATATTACCCAACAAAAAATTAAAGCAAAACGCTCCGAAAAATATTAAGTTAACTATTTCACATCACATAAAAATAAGAAAAGAGAATTCTCGTTTTCCTTCTGCAGTACACAATAATTTAGCAGAAGACTTAACCTGCATTAAATAATATGAAATAATATCAAAATCATATATAAGTGGGGATGGATGTAAAGAAAATGAAAGCTTGTGGAGGGTGATTTATCATCCCCCCCATATCCTCACTGAATACAAGCCAACACTGCAAATATTGTTGCTATCTCTTATTCTTGACAAAAAAACAACAAACTCTTCAGTTATTGTTGATTACTTTCAGCTTTGTCAAAAAATATCCTCATTTTAATCTCACAATAATGACATTGCACTTCCAATGTACAGGCATGTGTGCTTTTGTTTTATTTAATTTCTGATGTATTGATTAACTTTTGCTGAAATATAATAATAATTCTAGAAATATGCTAGTATTAGCAATAAAGAACAATGTCCAATAATAGAATGAATTATTCACTATACACAACATGATATAGGACAATATATTAATAAGGCTCAAATATGAGGGACAAAGCTGAAAATACACTAACATTTTAAGTAGCTACTTATTATGACCCTAAAGAGCATTAAGATAATCCATACTAGTGTTTCTGTTAATAAAACCGGAATTACAAATGTTTTTTTGAACAGCAACGTATCTAAACAAAATTTCTACATTATTACAGAAAATTATATGCAAGAGAAGTAAATCTGAAAAAACATTTCCTAAAAACAAATAAAAAAATACACAAGATCAACCAAAGAATTTAAAATCATTACCAAGTTAAAAAGTTTGACATTTCCATATGTGGACCAACGAGGTATACTAATTTTTGTCTTACTCCAAATTTCAATCCCCTATTTAATAATACTAACCACTTCCATTATATGCTGCTTAAGAGAATCAGCATCATCATCTTCTAAATTCTCTGCATCTATAACCTCAACCTCTGGCACTTCATCAGGATAGTTTTCGGTGTAAGAAAATTTTAACTTGCAAGAATGACCATTTGCCGATTCTGCTTCATAATCTTCGGATTTAATTGGAATAAGAAACCGATGGTATGGTTCTGTTGCTAAAACTAACAGCAGGTAAAAGCAAATTAGTGTCCTCGTGTCACAGTTTATTACGTATACACAGAAGTGCGGCATAATTTTTAACTCGTTACCTTCGAATTCACCACAATATATGGAGTCCAAAGCTTCTATTTCATTTGTCTGTTCTTCCGCGTAATCCATTGTAATATAAACTGGTGTAGGGATAGTACAAGAACTCGTAATCACCACATATAATCGATTAAAATAACTCGGTCAGTGTATTCGTAACACTGCACTGATCCAGATAACTTCAGAACATCGAACTCCTCACTAGGAAGGTTGGGGGAGAATAAATACTAATATGCATTCATTACATGAGAAAAACACATGAGATAATTCACGCACCACGTGCCCCATAGGCAAGAGCATGGGCATGAGCATGATAACCTATGATCTGTCCAGCTTTTGCTTTGGGCTGTTTGGGCTCCAGGTATCACGTATTTACAGCTTCTAGCACCAGGAGAGAAACCTCTCGCACATACGCTCATCACATAAATACTCTGTGCCGTGTGGAATATCGTGATGATACCACTGTAGACTACTTTTCCACATTACCACAGAACACAGTGTTCTTCCATGATATCACCAATGTTAAGAGCCCTGGCAATGTCCTATGTGCCTATTTTATTTCTTTGAATGTACCTACCTAATTTTAGGCAATTTACCCCTTATTACTTTTATTACTTTCTCGTATGTACGGAATATAGGTAGTACAGAAAAGGTTATGTACGGTAATCCTGCGGAAAATAGATTTCGACGGAAATACACTTTTTGGAGTCTCCTGATACTACCAAAAAAGTGTTGTTTTGCTTTCTTTTTCAAAACGTCCGTCCATCTGTTCTTATGTGTCTGCCAGCGAACATCAATGCCGGCATTGGTATTACTGGTAATACTGGGCAGTGCGGCGATCGCCCCGTACTCCGTAAGTCAGATCCGATAATAGAACTGATGGGGGAAAATCGTGAAAAATTGAAAATGAAATTAGAACTAAATAAAATCGTTATCGTAATTTTATAAGTCGCGCAATAGTATTCTGATATTTCATACAAATTTCAATTATTGTTTTTACCTTTAATAGTTCATTTAAGTAATTACTTCTAAGGAAGGACTATGAAATGAATGAAATGACGCTAACATTAAAATAGGTTGTACTGAAATTCATATTTATTCATTCATGTATTAAACAAGTGATTTCAATACGCACTAACTAAATTCAACAATTATTTTTAGCGTTTTTAAGCTTACCGTGGAAATTGTATTATTTGATCACTAAATAATTTTACTTTAAAATATATTTCCCAAAACTTTTTTGGCTTTAACGTTTTAACTTTTGTTGAAAGAAAAAAACTTATAGAGTTTCTTGATACAACTTCACACTTTTAATTTTTTTGGTGTGGAGTGGGCACTACGTTCCAGTATTACCGGGCCCAAAATTGTCCAGCTCCAGCAGTGATTAGTACCTAAGTTATTCTTACGCAGTAGTGAGAAAGTTATGTAATGCTGCGAGGAAAACGGCGAATTTTCGGCAGAAATCTCTTATTGCCGGGCCCTGATAACTAACTAGTAGCACTACAACTGCATACACTTTCTCGCAATATTGCAACGTTATCGTTATGACGGGACTCTCGTTTCATTAATTTCAAATATTAATTAATCAAAAATAACTGATTTTTATTAAAAAATTGCACATGACCTTTTTCACAGAGCGAATTTTGTTCAACAGACTTTATCAGAGGAAAAAATCTGTTTTATAGTTAAGATTCTTTTTTTGAAAAATTTTCGTAAAAAAAAGCTAGTAATACCCGAAAATGGGATTCAAATCATATTTTTCACCGCCCATTATTACATAATTGGAGAAAATGTAAAGAAAACATTCAGAGCTCCTTTTTAGAAAAAATGCGCAAATTTCAAGCGTAAATTACGCAAAAATTACTAATTTTTTTTCTTCAAAAAATTGTACAAAACCTTTTTTAAAACGATAATTGTATACAGTAGACTTTGAAGCAAAAATCTCTACGCAGAGAGTATACCTTCCATTTTTTAGTTTTAAATTTGTTTTGCAATTTTCGAAAAATCGGAATTTCAACGAAAATGAGTCGGGTACCCTTAAAGTATTCTTGGCTATCCGGGGTGAGCCACGTCTCAGCAGTATAGCTCTAAAGAAGGCCACAGCAAGACTGCTGGAGTGCAGCAGCATAGCTCTGAAGAAGGCCACAGCAAGATGGCCGAAACATCAGTCCAATTAACTGAGACGCGGCTCCCCGGATAGCCAAGAATACATTGACTCCGGCCGCGGAAGCCTACGAACCCGGGTACTCTTAAACGTCACACTACTAAACAAAATTAAATTAAGAAACTTGGAGCCATTTTTTGAAAATTATGAAAATGTCCGAGGGGCTAACCAGGGCCCTATAACTCCCATATAACGTGGTGGAAACCATTATGGTGGCGCGCTCTGCTGCATCACCTTCTTCACAGGAACTAAAACAGGAACTGCTGCCAACGATACTTTTAACGTGCGTGACTGCTGCGTGAGTTCGCGGGTCGCAAGCAGGATCATAATGTTACAAAAGATAACGTCTACGTTCGCGCTTTCTTCAGAGGTTTCTTACAAGTAGACATTATGAATAATTGTACATTTAGAAGACACTTTTCGTATTTCTCACAAATTAGCCAATTTGTATGTGGGAATGTCGGCGAGCCTAACCTGCAGCTGCACCCGGCGACACTAACGCTTCCTATAGTAGCAACCTCGAGCTTTGTCCCCAATTTTGATAGAGTTGCCGGGCCCTGGAGCTAACTACCCCAGAACGATTGGGGAATATCAATTTTGGAGCATAATAGGGGGAACGGTTAATGCGCTAGTGTTTTGAACAGATTCTGGCAACACCACGTGTCAGAGGAATTTTTGTACAAAATTTAGCAGATATGTGACTGTGTCATAAAAACGGACGGGCAAGCGCTTTGTCGTCAATCGATTTTTCGGTATTAACGACACACAAAACATGATTCTGGCTACACCACGTTTTAAAGTAGTGATTTACTACATAAAGTAACAGGAATATTACTTTTTTTTGTTACCAGGGCCCGACAACTGTTTGTTTTTTTCTGTCGAAAATTCGACGTTTTCCCGCACACTTCTTACGTTTGTAAGAGCGGGAAAGTAAAACTTTTGGTATAATGTCCTTTTTTTTATATAACGATATTGAATTTTTCAACAAGGACCCTGGTAACCCTATTCAAGTCCGATTGTCACTAATAATTCTAAAATTTTGAAATTTGCAAAAGTTTGACTTTTTACGAAGTCTTCCTCAAAACTACGATATTAAGATTGATATTTTTCTTCTAATTAAATATGTTCTCTACTATTAGTTGTTTCATTATCGCCTTTAAAATTCTTTCAATATTTGGGTAGTTTTTGAGTAATTTTGAATGATATACGAGGAACATTAAAAAATAATATAAACAAAATTGTCAAAAACTGCTCATAATTTTTACTTTATCACTAACGCACCGCGGTAGAGAGAATGTTATGCAATGCTGCGCGAAAAACGGCGAATTTTCTGCAGAAAACGTATAATACCTGGAAACGAAAAAGTGGATAAACCCAAATGCTCAACTTAGAAAAAAAATCCTCTAACGCGTGGTGTAGCCAGAATACAGTTTGTGGGTCATTGTTACCAAAAAATGAACGACGGCAAAATCGTACGACCGTCTCTCTGTGAACTCTTAGCGGCAAAATTCAGCTCCAAAAATTTTCTCCAAAATTGATATTCCCCTATCAATCTGACTGATTTCGCGGCTCCTTGAATTTGAAACCGATATTTTAATTTTGGGGATACTTTACATGAAGCCCGTGGAACATTTTCCAAACTGTCAAAAAAAAAGGCTCTTTATTGATTGAATTTTATTGTTGTAGAGTGTAAAGCACGTTTAAAAGAATGGTACAGGTCTCATAAAAGTTGAATTCTCTGTTTTATCGAAAACTGCAAAAATTCAATATTTTGTGGCGTCTTCCTACAACAAAAATATTAAAAATAGGGATTTTTCCCGTTTATGAAATCTGTTACTAGGAGATAGATTTTGAAATATGGTCATGTACAATTTTTCGAGAATTTGAAAACTTTTCGCGTATTTTATGCAAAAGCTGTGATTTCTTAAGACGTAGATAGTAGGCCAATATCTTGGATTAAGAAGTGCTTTAAATTATTTGGTGCACTTGTTATTAAAAATATATTATAGGATGTTCAATAATAAAGTCAAATTTAGGAAAGATAAATGCTTTTTTCATTTTCACAGTGAAAATTTTAGACTTGAGAAAAATTAATGCCTTCAATAACTTTATTTTTTATAAATGAAAGTCATTTTGAAGATTCAAGAAAAGGTAACATAAAAGCGAAAAATAATTTCCTTTATGTTTTGTGATTGCTTCGAAGGATATAATTGTTCTACTCAATCTCTTTGAAGTTCAATTAATTTTATCCACTATGATTATATAAAGTTTAACTTTATAAAATTGAAATCAATTTCCTAAGTACTGTCAGAACATACATTCTAAAAATCTATGGCTTAGGCCTACTATCAAGTAGCTCCATTCTCAGTCTGCCAGTTTGAGAAGTAAAATGTTCTATTTCGAAATGAATATTATGCATTAGAAATAGTATAGAGTGGATAAAATTGTTAAAAATATTTGTATTGCAATATCATGTATAATAACACCTGATTGACTATCAAAACTGACATACAGCCTTATTTGATAATTTTACATTTTGTATTGTATTAAGAAGGCTTTTAGTACGCTTACTTGTGTCGGAATATACTGCTCAAAAAATACAACTTTTCTTTTAATTAAATTTGCATTTTCAAATTATTTTTTGTTAAAATGAAGAAGTTTTTCCTTTACCTGAAGTTAATTTTTGATATGTATGCACTGGCAGAACCAGGAAAGGGGCCATGAGGCCCATAGGGTTTAAAGTTTAACTTCCTTAATTTAGCAAAATTGATTGATATCTACAGTACATAAATAAATTTCAATTTAGTAACAAAAAATGTTTATTATTTAACAAAATATACAAAGCCCCCCTCTCCAATGATTGGCTGGATCCAGCCCTGAATGTATGAATGTATTTTGTCAAAATATATTTTCAACACATATTCATATGTATCAAAAATTAACTTCATGTAATTGAAATGTTCTTCCTTTTATTAAAAAAATAAATAGAAATATGTAATAATTACTAAAAGAAATTTACAAAGAAAGTTAACATTCTAATGCTACTCCTTGCACTATTTGAAGCACTAGTCACTATTTAAAATTCATCCTAAAAGGTTCATTTGGATATTGAAAAAGAATTGCTTTATAACTGATCTTAAAGATCTCAAGTGTACAAATGTACATTATATATTACATCTTATTTCATAAATGTTTATTGAAAACTTAAATTGTGACATAATAGTTATTAAAACTTTTTTGGCCATATTGACAGTTTATAGAAGCTGTTAGCAACATGTAAAGTACAAATAATAATAGAAAAAAGTAAATACAATTAGATATATAAATAAATACAATTTGTATACAATTAGAGACTATACACTAGAGACGAGCATCCAAAAGGAAAGTAATATTAATTTTAATAATGACATTTAATGTACTATTTATCATTTGGATTGTGTAATTCTAAAGAACCTCTAAGAAGTATTGTACCGCAGCTTCTGGGTCAATGACCCCCTATCTCGATCATATTTTCGTCCAGTTTCCCTGTTCCAAGAGCAAATGCTGAGATGGCCCCTTGTTTTCCTTCTGGACATAAATGTATATTGAAATTAACATCTCTCCATAGCTTATCACATAATTTTTAGCTGTTTTTGACATAAATAAATAAATTTCAGTAAGCCAGGATCAGCTTAATAACAGTAAATATTCACTATTTCACCTGCAAA